AGTAGAAGGATTTTTTAGAGAACTATATATTTATTAAATAAAATAAAATATATATATTAATAAATAATAAATTTAAAAAATAAAAAATTATTTTACTTTGATTTTTAATATAATTTTATTATATAACGATAATATTTATTAGTTTTAAAAATCTTAATTATAAATATACATATATTATCGTAAAGATGCATATTATCATCAATTTTATTATAAATTTATTAATCTATTACAATTATTACAATATCTTATTCATATTGTTTTACTGCAGCTTTAATAGTTTTGCATCAACTAATAGTCTTTACATCTAATATTTGAAATTCATTATCATCTAAATCTTTAATATATTTAACAGATATATTTTATTCATTAAACACATTAATAAATTGCATAAAATTCCCATTTTTACCTTTATCTTTATCTACCTTCTTCAAAAATTCTTCTATACTTAGAACTGGAAGTTGTGATAAAAACAGATACCAAAGGTTTTTTAATGATGCAATACTGAGAAAATATATACTGAATAAGTTGAAAAGAATACATTTGTGATATTTGTGATACCATTAATGTGGCTTATAAATGCACATTATTTTTGTTATATGATGTACAATAAAATCTAGATAAGTTAATACAATTTCAATTGTTGCAATTCCACTCACCTAAAGATAAATTTTTATAAATAATAATAATAATAATTACTAAAATAATATTGATTTTAATAATAATTTTAAATAAATTCTTAAAGCAATAAAACTTAGTAAATTATCTTAAGAACAATGTTACTGCTCATGAAGTTCAATATTAACTTGTTAATTACTTTTTGATAAGAAGTTAATCCTGATATTTTAAAAATAGAATTGATTTTTTTTCTTCAATTTATCATCATTCTCATTAGATTTAAGATCCTCTTTTTTAAAATATGTAGTAGTTATTAGTAATAATAAATACATAAAATATAATTACAATTATATAGTTTCTTACTTCTATATGTCTTCTTTTTTTTTCTTAACAATTTTTCATTTTATATTGCAATTATAATAATTTCTTTTTTTATTTTAAGTAATTTCTTATATTTATTCAAAAACTTTTCAAAATCTTTCAACTTGCTTAATTCTAAGTCTTAACTATTTGATTTAGCAGATTTAAAAATTAAAGAGTACTCTGCTTGATCAATCTCTTCTCCTATTATAGTTTTGATATAAATTTTGAATTTGAGTAATAAATTATTTAAAAATTGAAGCATTAAATGTAAACCATTTTTCAGATAATAATTTTCCATCTACTTTCTTTACAATAAAGTAAAATTTTTTCATTTTGATCAAGATCAATACTTTCATTTTCATTAGAAGTAGAATATAAATCTTGTAAATTGATAAACTTATTAACATTAATAATCAAAAAAGAAGTGACAAATTCATTATTAGAATTAGGATTTTTTGAATAATAATTTTAGTTTTATTAGAAATACTTTAAAATTAACAATTACATATAGAATAAAAAGTAAAAGTAAAATTTTTTTCAAAATTTCTATTATAAGAATAAAGTGAGTTTCATTCTTAAAGGAAAGTTTTTTATAAAGAAACATATTTGGTTCAAAATTTCATGAAATGTATATAGAATTTTTTCAGTTTGATTGCTTCTTTTAGGTTTTACTATTATCACATTTATACTTTTCAACACTTAGATTAAAGCCACAATACATATATTTACAATATCTATAATATATACAATTTCATTTAAACCATATTATAATAAAAAATATTTTACACAAAAATAAGACAACAAAAAAAATTGAACTAAAATGCATCATAGAGTGTCAATTTTTTGTAATATACCAAAATGGTAATCAAAATTAATAATCACAAAATGATAACCATATTATATGACAATAATAAATCTACAGAATTTTAAAAATAATATAATATAAAATTTTGAGAATTATTATTTTTAGAAATTTTTAATATTTTATAAGAAAAGTTTATTTTTTAGATAATAAATAATCAATTAATTTAGAATTTAAAAAATTAATAATTATTTTGAAAATTTATATAATTAAAAAAAAAGCATGTTATATTAATAAAAATAAATATAAAGAATCCAATTATTACTACCTTAGCTAGTATTCTTTTATAAGCTTAAAAGAAAGAATATTCTATTGAGAGTTTTACTATAGTAGTTTCTTAAAATATTATTATTATTATAAATAAAGGAAAAGTAAAAAATATATCATAAATAAATAAAATAAAATAATCAAAAATTAATTATTAAAATTGGTAAAGTTTTTTATATTTACTATAAGAATTCTTTAGGATTAATTATATTTGAATTTCTACAGATATGATTAAGATTATTAGATAAAATTTAGAGGTTTTGCAAATTGTTTAAATGGAAAAGATAAAAAGTTAGTGAAATTATATTATCTTATTAAAAAATCTGCAAAATTCTAGAAAAGGTAAAACTATATCAAAGCTTATAAAAAATGTGAAACTATATTAAAATCTTAGTAAAAAATTAGCAAAATTATAGTTTAGATATTTTGTTTAGACAAGCAACCTTAGATGTGATATTTAACCTTATAAAGAATAATATAGTTATAGTATATCAGATTAATGTGAATTAGTTATTATATGAACTTATTAATTTTTTTAACTTCATAGATATCAAATTTAATAAATAATATAATCATTAAAACTTAATTTTTAATATTTTATAAATTTAATAATCTTAATAAGAGTTATACTTTTTTTTTAAATTCTTTTTTGTTTCTTTCATACTTTGATATAAATTTAAAAGATATATTTGTATATCTGCATTATGTTTAGTAGCTTTTTTAAGCCAATACAAAACCTTTTCAAAATTCTTTTCTGTTTCTTTATCATAAATATAATAAATTGCAAGTTTTACTTATGTATTTATATTATTATTTTCAGCAACTTTTTGATACTAATAAAAAGCCTTTTCTAAATTCTTTTCTATTCCATTACCATCTTTATATAAAAGATGCAAAATTATATTATGCAGTTGCATGATTATTTTAGCAGCTTTTTGAAACTAATAAAAAGTTTTTTTAAATTCTTTTCTGTATTATACAAAATTGCAAGATTATTTTATGCATTAAAATCATTATTTTTAGTAGCTTTTTGAAATCAATAAAAGGTTTTTTTAAATTTTTTTCTGTTTCTTTACTTTTATAATATAAAAATGCAAGATAATTCTATGCAGTTTTATTATTATTTTCAGCAGCTTTTTGATACTAATAAAAAGCTTTTTCTAAATTTTTTTCAATCATATCACTATTTACATATAAAGATGTAAGATAATATTGTGCAATTGTATGATTATTTTCAGCAGCTTTTTGAAATCAATAAAAAGCTTCTTTAGATTCTTTTCTGTTTTTTTTTACTTTTATAATATAGAAGTACAAGTTGATTTTGTGTAGTTGCATAATTATTTTCAGCAGCTTTTTAATACCAATAAAAAGTTTTTCTAAATTTTTTTCATTTATATCACCATATTTATATAAAATGTAAGACTATTTTATACATATATATTATCATTCTTAGTAGTTTTTTTATACCAATAAAAAGCTTTTTCTAAATTTTTTTCTATTTCATTATCATCTTCATATAAAGATGCAATATTATATTGTACAGTTGCATAATTATTTTCAGCAGTTTTTTGATACCAATAAAAAGCCTTTTTTAAATTTTTTTCAGTTCTATCACCATAATCATATAAAAATGCAAGATTATTCTGTGTATCTAAATCATCATTCTCAGCAGCTTTTTGATACCAATATAAAGCCTTTTCTAAATTTTTTTCAGTTCCATTACCATGTTTATATAAAGATGCAAGATTATATTGTGCAATTGCATGATTTTTCTCAGCAGCTTTTTGATACTAATAAAAAGCCTTTTCTAAATTTTTTTCAGTTCCATTACCATTTTGATATAAAGATGCAAGATTATATTGTGCAGTTACATGATTTTTTTCAGCAGCTTTTTGATACCAGTAAAAAGCCTTTTCTAAATTCTTTTCTGTTCCTTTACCATAATAATATAAGTCTGCAAAGTTATTTTGTGCATTTATATTATTATTTTTTGCTGCTTTTTGAAAATAACAAAATGCATTTTTATAATTTTGTACTATTCCAATTCCATAATAATTATTTAAACCAATTAATCTTAATCCTTCAAAATATATTATTCTATAAAATTTTCTTTTTTTGTCTTCATTTATATTATTATTATTTATACTAATACTATAATACTTATTTAAAGTATCTTTTGCAATGATATTTCCATTATTTGCTGCATTTTTATACCAGTATAAAGCTTGTTTTCTATTTATTTCTATTCCAATACCATTAAAAAAACAATTTCCAAGTTGATATTGTGCATCAGAAATTTTATTTTTAGCCAATATATTATAATATTTAAATGCTTTGTAATTATTTTTTTCAACACCTTTTCCTAATCTAAAACAATCTGCTAAATGAAGTTTTGCATTAATATTTCCATTAATAACTGCTTTATAATACCAATAAACTGCTTTCTTTTCATTTTGTTGGATTCCAATACCATATTCATAATAATGTCCTAAATAAAATTGTCCCAATATACTTCCATTTTCTACAGACCTTTGATACCAATTAAATGACAGATTTTTATCACATTCGATTCCATATCCATTATTATAACATTTAGCAAGATAAACTTGTGAGATCGAATAATTTTCTTCTGCTGCTTTTAAAAATAATCCATATGCTTTTACACTATCTTCATCAATACCAATATTGAAATAATAAAATAACCCAAGAAACCATATATATTGTGGATTTTGCTGCTTTCTTAGCCAATCTAATAGATTTTCGATTTGGTTTAATCGTGATATCTTTTGCTTAATAAAATAATTAAGTTGATCATAAGTAATTCCTTCATTGAGTTTTTTAATTACCAATTTAATTAATTTATCAACTGTTATATGATTTATAAATATTGAATCTATTGAGTCTTTTGATTGATTATTAACTTGAAAAATTGAACTTAAATGTTTTTTAAAATCCTTTATACTCGAATATGATTTATTACTTCGAAAACTTAAAATGCTTTTATCATCCTTCTTAGAAACTTCAGGTATTTCTAAATCTTCTAAAACCTCATCTCTCTTTTTGCATAATTTAAAGCTAGAATTATTATTTGATTGAGAAGATTTTATTTCAGTGAAATTATTAATACCTTCAGACAATTCTAGACCTTCTAATTCCTCATCTATTTCTATACTTGATTTAAGGCTAGATATACCTTTTATCGGTAATTCAATTTCTTCATTAAAATCAGCATCAATCATTTCACTGTTTTCAAGAGAAATAATAATTTTAAGAGTTGAAACGACTTTTTGCATATTTGGACGCTCATCAGTTTCGTATTTCCAACATTCTAATTGAATGAAAATTCGTTTATAAAAAAAATTTGTCATTAATATTATTTACCTCGATATAGATTACTGTATTCAGGTGGCGTTCCATCAATAATTTTTTCTCTTTTGCCATTTAATATTAAAAGAATTAAATCGACATCGTTAACATCTTTAAACGGTTGATATCCACTTGACATTTGCCACATCAAGACTCCAACACTATAGACATCAGATTTTTCCTCAAATTTGTAATCCTTATTTTTATCTAAACATTTTGGATCCATATAAGGTAATATACCACACACTTTCGATGCAATTTTTGATTCTTCAGCAATTTTTTTTGATAAACCAAAATCTGCTAATTTAATCATTTTCTGATGTACAAGTATATTACCTGCATGCTATAATTTTTTAATGAACAAAATATTTAATTATTCAAAGTCAATAAAATAAATAAATAATTGAATTTCAAAAAAATGGTCAATTACCAGATCGCAATGAATAATATTACAATCGTGTATACATTCTACGGCACTTGCCAATTGCAAAGCTAGTTTATATTTGTCGTTCCAATCAAGTTCATTAAAATGATTTTTTAAGTAAGCATTTAATGTTCCGCCATCAGC